AAGGGCTACGCGATCTGCAGTGCCAGTGCGTGGGGTTGATCGCGAATGTGTCCGAACACCCCACGAACCAGCAGAAAATTGTGGCGGAAGGTTTGACGAGTGCGCTCGTTGCGTTGACCAAAGTGGCTCAAGACAGCGCGGAGATTCTGCAAGATGTGAGTCGCGCGCTGGCGAATCTTTGCTCCAACGAGGAGAACCACCAAGCCGTGTACAAACAAGGCGCTTTGTTGAGCCTCATCCAGCTTACCGAGTCTGCAGATGACGTCACGCAGCGGTATGCCGCGATGGGCCTGCGCTTCTTGTCCGCCAACCCGACGATCCGCGTTCACATCGTGCAAGAATCGCTTCTCCAGCCGTTCATCAGGCTGGCGCAGAGTCCGCTGCTGGATTACCAACGCACGGCAGCTGCAGCCTTCTCGAGTTTCTCTCTGAATGAGGAGAACAAGTTGAAGCTGGTTCGTGACGGCGGCTTGGCTCAGATTCTCCGCTGCTGCGCCTACGACGACCTGGAAGTGAAGCGAGATTGCGTCTTCGCTCTCGCGAATATTAACAATCAATTCATTTCTTCCAATCCCTGAGTTTACAGTGAGGGCTTTCGAGAGTGGGAACGTGGGAACAAAATCATTGTCAAATTTGAGCGAGCCTTTTTCGCCGATGCCAGACTAGATTGGATGACAGTAGTGGGAGCGACAACAAACCGCTGTACACATGTTACCAAAGCGGCTGATTAACACCGCGTCGCTAGAGACAAGAGGCCAATCCAAGTGGAGAACAGTAGGCGAGACAAGAATACAGCAGCTGGGGTGTGTGATTGCGGGTGGTTTAATTGCTCAGTTGTGATAAAGGTTTGTTTTGTGCTCCTGAGACCAAGATATAAAATGAATGGATGCTTAGTTACAGAGAAATGAATATTTGATATTGAACCCCGCTGGGCTCCTTGACGTCAACAAGTAATCTACATTCATGTCTATAGATGACGATGTTGAACGACCGGCGGTCTAAGAGACGATCACCGTCGTACTATGCTGTGTCTACCCCAACTAACATACCATGTTAACAAGTGTATCATTTGCACTAAAGCGTCGACTAAAACGATGATGAACTGCGGCAGCATTTAATGACGTTCCACGTATGTATATCTCGTGACTACCTGTCTGTTTTACGTACATCCAAGTAAGCAATAGACGAACCAAAATGCTGGCAACGTTCTGTCCCCGGCGGCATAAATATTAAATGGACATTGGTTTCACATCCAAGACTGTAAAACCCCACTGACGAGATCAATGGCGGTTCCGAAGAGTGTAATCTACCTTCCTTAGAAAAATGCTAAACAATTCCAGTGGATGTTGTATAGGTCTTGACAATCAATATTGCCCCCTACAATTTGGTCAATATTAACAATCAATTCATTTCTTCCAATCCCTGAGTTTACAGTGAGGCTTTCGAGAGTGGGAACGTGGAAACAAAATCATTGTCAAATTTGAGCGAGCCTTTTTCGCCGATGCCAGACTGGATTGGATGACAATAGTGGGAGCGACAACAAAACTCTGTACACATGTTAGCAAAGCGGCTGGAAAAACACCGCGTCGCTAGATATAAGAGGCCAATCCGAGTGGAGAACAGTAGGCGAGACAAGAATACAGCAGCTGGGGTGTGTGATTGCGGGTGGTTTAATTGCTCAGTTGTGATAGAGGTTTGTTTTGTGTTCCTGAGCACAAGATATAAAATGAATGGATGCTTAGTTACAGAGAAATGAATATTTGATATTGAACCCCGCTGGGCTCCTTGACGTCAACAAAGTAATCTACATTCATGTCTATAGATGATGATGTTGAACGACCGGCGGTCTAAGAGACGATCACCGTCGTACTATGCTGTGTCTACCCCAACTAACATACCATGTTAACAAGTGTATCATTTGCACTAAAGCGTCAGCTAAAACGATGATGAACTGCGGCAGAATTTAATGACGTTTCACGTATGTATATCGCGTGACTACCTGTCTGTTTTACGTACATCCAAGTAAACAATAGACGAACCAAAAATGCTGGCAACGTTCTGTCCCCGGCGGCATAAATATTAAATGGACATTGGTTTCACATCCAAGACTGTAAAACCCCACTGACGAGGTCAATGGCGGTTCAAAAGAGTGCAGTCTACCTTCCTTAGAATAATGCTAAACAATTCCAGTGGATGTTGTATAGGTCTTGACAATCAATATTGCCCCCTACAGTTTTGTCAATATTAACAATCAATTCATTTCTTCCAATCCCTGAGTTTACAGTGAGGATTTCGAGAGTGGGAACGTGGAAACAAAATCATTGTCAAATTTGAGCGAGCCTTTTTCGCCGATGCCAGACTGGATTGGATGACAGTAGTGGGAGCGACAA